GGGGGGGAGGGGGGGGTGGGGGGGTTTGAAAAAAGTTTTTTTTGGTCAAAAAAGGGCCCTTCAACAGCTGAAAACCCCCCCCCCCCCCCCAAAAAAAAAAAAAAAAAAAAAAAAAAAAACGGTTGAAGAAGTGGGTCAGTTAACAGAGGTGTCTTGCCTTTGATTGGTGAATTTTCATCAATGGTATCTTGCCTTGTGAATGATACAAGCCATCTCGGTCGTAAAGTGTCATGCTTGTTCACAAGTGTCTCGCTTGTGTCAAATAGCTGGGGTAGCGCTAACACTCGCCAATTTAGCCAAATGCTAAAATTGACTGAAATTGGCTAAACAAAATGGGGTTGATATGACTTATTTTAGTCTAATTTAAACCATTTGGACAAAAAAAAAAAAATTCCTAGCGCCAGAATAGGATGGGTATCCTGAATCACTGTTCAGTCTAAGCTGTTGTATCCTGCTTAGGAATTATCCTCCAAAACAAAAGGGATATAAGCTGGATGGCATGCAGTGAACGTGTTAACGGCTTAAGAGTCGGTGGTCGAGTGTGGATTTGAATAACTGTGTCATATGTGAAAATGAGGCCAGTGTCTGATAGGTTGTTTAATTTTGAGTTTTGATTGGCTGCTCTCGTTTTCCTTTATTAATTGTAAATAAAATGTGGAGAAGGCATCTCGACATATATTTGCGGTGCCTATATGTTTTATGATTTATTATGCTCTATTTGAACATTCAGGTTTAGATTTTCCTGGTAAAGTTGGTTGGCCCTGAAAAGGGTCATTTTCTAGAGAACTGAGAAGCAGTAGCTTCCATTTTAGGATGGGGCTTTCTTGAATGTGGTTATTCTATATTTTGCTTTGCTGGCTAGCACGCGGCCCTTCTTCTTGTCTTTCATTGTCAGGATGAGGAGTCTCATTAGCTCCATAATCTGGTCGTTGACTGCCATAGATGCTGAGGTGGGGTTTGTTAGCGTGTATACGCTGTGTATGTCAGAGTGCTCTTCTGCTTTGGCCTTCCTTTCTTCTGCTTTTGCTAAGCTTTCCTTAGCTGTGTCTAGGAAAGCTTGTGTGTGGGCCTCAATTTTGGATTTAAGCTCTGTCGCAGCTTGGTCTTGTATCTTAATTATTGATGCCAGAAGTAGGTCGTCATCAGGGCATCCCCTGAAGTCTAATCGGCATCTCACATGGTGGGAGTTGTTGCCGAGTTGTTTAAGCATGTGGTCTGCCCAGTCAGAGCAGCCTTTGAGGTAAGCTTTAGCTTTGAAAACCTCGTCTTGATGGGGATTCTCGTTATTTTCTGGAGGGCTGGCTGTAATTGACGTTGGTCTCTTTGGGATTATTGTCCTGGGTGGTGCTGTGCTGTGCCAGGTTTTGGATTCCATTTTCTGGGTCCTTTACATTGTGTTGGAGGTTGGATCCGCCCTTGTAACAGTTTAGATTATTGTCGAATAAAAATTTGGTTGTAATTCTAGGGAAATGGCAGTACCAACAGCTGTGTTACAGCGTGTCCAGCAGAGGGCGCTGCAAGCAGAGCAAATTATTGCTACGCTGAGGCAGCAACTACAAGGCATAAAACAGGCAGCTGGTGAGAATCTTCATTGTATGTTTGCATGCGTGTGTGTTTGTCTGTGTGCTTGTTTGTGTGTGTGTTTAAGTGTGTACGTGTTTGTGTGTGTGTGTTTGTTTGTGTGTGTGTTGCTTCGATTGATTTTTTTTATAAAGGTATTTAACATTTAATGCATTCTGCCTGTCAACGGTCAGATTGTGTGTAACACTACTCGAAATTAATGTGTCATAGATATCTGAGAAAAAAGTGTGGCACAAACCCTAAGTGTCAGAAACTGGTCAGAATGTTTAGAAATATCCAAGGAGGCCAGTCTGTGAAGTTATGTGGAAGTCCAGTGATCTGCCTGTATTTCTTATATAATAATTATTAAATTTTCAAAGAGAGCTTTGTTTAATTACTGAAATCTGACTGTGTTATCTTCATTTTTTCTATTTATATATTTGTTTAGTCAGCCAAGCAGCACAAAAAGAGGAAGTTATATTGAGAGCGGAGAATGCTAAGCTGCGCCTGGAAGTCGAGGCACTAAAACAGGAGCTGATTTCTGCAGAAATTAGGAATGGAGGTAAGGAGGATTGATGCTTGTGGTTGACAACTTAAACAGTTCCTCAGTTATGATAAAATTTGTAATTTTACTCTTTTATTTATTTATACATTTAGTGTAAGTACAAATTATTTATACTAAGGTTATCAAAATTTTAATTCAAATACTGTACAGAAAAAAATGTAAAATATTTTTAATTTTCTATGACAAAAAATAGGTATTGTAAGCATGATGTGAAATCTTCCTAGGTTTTTAAAGTATGTCATTTACATGTAAAACAGTCAATTTTATAAATTGTAAAGCAGACAAAAGTGCATAAAACATTTAAATAACTACTATTAAAATAAGACTTACAGTAACTTTAATAGTCTTAATAAGTGACTTTTGTCATGGTTTCTCTTTACAGATTGAAATTCTCTATCACCGTGTGTTGAAACGTAGGTAATTAATTATGAAATAATGAATAGTTTATTATTTGTCACAGTGAAACAAATGTCTCTTCCGGCCTCCGGGACAGGAAAGACCGTCACGTCTGCAGCGCCCCCCTCACAGCCCACCCCCAGTGCTGCACCCCCTGTGAAAACTGAAGAGAAGAAGAAAGGAAAACAGGCTGCTGATGGTTCTGCAGGAGAAGGAAAGCCACCAAAAGAGGGCAAGAAGAAGGAAAAGAAAGGTAGGTTTGTGTGTAAACTACTGTTTAACCCATATTCTGACAATGTATGCAAGTTAATTTACACAAAATGTATAGATTGTAGACATAAAGATTTTATCACAGATCAAGTGTTGTCTTTAAAATGAAAATGAATAATGATAGTAACTGTTCAAATAAGTTATAACATTTCAAATCTTTTTACCAGAGGAAATAAATAAAAGAGGTTCTGTTCTATTTTTCTGTTGGTGTTATGCAATTTTATGCAAAAACAGTAAATATTTTTGTTATTTTCTGAAATGATTATCGTCATATAGCTTAATCTGAGTCAAGCAACACATTTTTAGAGGGAAAACCCAAGCAGGCCCCTGCCAGCACTCCTGAAGCCCCCATAGATGTGTCAAGGCTCAATCAAAAGATTGGGCGTATCGTCTCCGTCAAGCAGCATCCAGATGCAGACAGTTTGTACATAGAGGAGGTTGATGTTGGAGAGGAGAAGAACAGGACTATTCTTAGTGGCTTAGTGAAACACGTGCCTATTGAAGTGGTAGGATTTTGTCATAAATGTGATATTAATTTTTTCATCTGTTGACATGTTTGTTAAGTTAGTATTGTATTGCTGTACTGAACTCTTATGAAATTACTTACACGTGCACACCTGCACATACATAGACACGTGCAGGCATACATCCCTGCATACATACTCAAGAAATATATGTAGGATCAGCAAGTGAATGTTTTGTTTTCATTACTTCCATGTATTACATAATTTACTTTATACTCCACTTCTGCAATCACTTTTATATATTCTTTCATAAATACTGACTTCCAGATGCAAGATAAGTTAGCTGTGTTTTTACTCAACTTAAAGCCAGCCAAGATGAGAGGGGTCATGTCCGAGGGCATGATCATGTGTGCAAGTACACCAGAGAAAGTGGAAATCATCGATCCACCCCCAGGGGTAGTCCCTGGGGACAGGGTGACATTTGCTGACTATCCAGGTATTATTGTCATATCTGTATCTATTATATTGCTGCTGCCATTGAAATGTTTTACTTGTTCATAATTTCTCATTTCTTTGAGAGTTATTCTAAAACTCAGAGGGGTGTCATAGGGCATAATTTTGTGGAAAGTTTGGGATATTGTATACCTTGATAAAAAGTGTTGAAATTTCCAGGAAAATTTAAATTTTGTTGTTCGAAAATCTATCATTCATTGTTTGACTTATATATCACTTTTTACCACCATTCCAGGAGAGCCAGATGCTCAGCTTAATCCTAAAAAGAAAATCTGGGAGCAAATTCAACCTGATCTTCGAGTGGATGAAAATGGAGTGGCTACTTATAAAGGATGTCCATTTAAAATTGAAGGAAAAGGGATCTGCAAGGCCCCAACTTTGAGAAATACTCCAATCAAATAATACAGAACTGACAGGAAGACTTGTTTTGAATTTTTTGTGAAAGGATAATTCAATATTTTGAGGATTTTATTTACATCTAAATGAGCTAAATGACCAATTATAAACACAAGTAATTAAAAAGAAATTTTACAAAAAATAACAGTTAAGATAAACTTTGTGGTGTATATCAAAATTATTAATAAATAATTTAAAATAGATCATTCAGTATGTTGGGATAGTCTTATTAACGCACACCAGTTCCTTGCAGTTGACCTTTTGACAAATTAACTGTATATAATAGAACAATGTGAAAAGTTTTCTTTAAGTATATGTATATCTGTTTGACACTTGACAAAATGCAGACCTCTGCCTTCAGTACAAAAGCTTTTATTTATTTTCTATCTCAATATTGCACAGAAGTTGAGACACAACCAGCATAAAGCTCTTCTACATTTTTACTTTACCAAGTGAACATCCAATATTTTTATATCTTGCACTGATGAGACTTTTCCAACTTTTGTAGGATTTCCGACTTTTTCAGGGTCATTTGGGTCATTCTTGTGAATCATGTACCCTGGACCCACTGGCCAATTTTCCTACTTTTTCAGTGAGGACTGGGCTCCGCAACTCAAAAGCAATGCCAATTGCGACGGAGCATAAACGTCTCTATCCCATAACTTGGGATTTACTCGCCCCATATAATAGCCTCGAAATAAAAGCTGATAGCGCTATTTGCAATTTGCAATGCTCTTGAGTTACAGAGCCCTGTTAATATTCAAAAATCTTTAACTGAAATAAAACCCGCAATATATATTTTAAAATTCACATGGGTTAAACCCACAAAAAATGGTGAGCTGGAAAAGTCACTGTTACTAAATAATATCAAGAAGAAAAAAATTTCATCCATTTGATGTACCCCTTTTTTTCTGTTGCCAATTAAGTCTCGTGGCCTATTTTTAACAACAGTTATCAAGCTAAGTCTGAAAACAATACCCCTGTAAACTTTAACATTTTAGAGTTACCTAACATATTATCAATTCCCATGATTCACTTAAATTTTTTTATGTCATTTATTAAAATATATATAATCATTTTTAAGTTTAAAAAACAACCATTTGTACATTTCATAAAATTATTATACCCAATCCAATATTCAATATACAACTTTTGATTCTCAGTTACATCTTTGACGATCACTCATTAAGTACCCTGCTTATAAAATGGCTCTAAGCATTCATGTACTCCTTTACCAAACAACGTATAGCTGCCAATATTCAGGGACTGAAGTCTACTCGAGTCCAGTTCTGCATCATAGGGTCTAGGGGCCCCTGCTGTAGGCTGGTTATCCCCCTGGATGTGACTGTGGGGCAAGTTAAACACACTGGCCATGGTACATATCATGCCATACTTTGTCATTTTCTCATTCCCGCTCCAATGGAAAACACCTGATAGTGCTTGCCCCTAATAATGAACAATATTAATTGATAAATATTAATAAATTACATAAAGACATGAATAAATTAGCCAACGTGTTATATTTCAATAAGTATAACCAGCACTCTCATTTACTTACGTGTTTAGTATACTGTAACAGCATTATACAGCTTACTGAAAAAGCCAACATGTCTAACTTGAATTTATTCTGACCACAAACTGAGCCCACATGTGATCATTTAGGAAATATGGCCATGTTACTAATATGTACGTACCTCCAGTTTCTTTTCTAGCATCTGCCGAATTACTTTGGCCACATCTCTGGTATGTGTAGGGTGTCTTTGCTCATAGTCTGATACAACAAATGACTTGCTTGTGTCAGTTAACTTTGTGAATAATTCTGTGACTGCACTTTCTTTTATGAACTCTAGCTCTCCATACAGAATTGGCACACGGAGAATTCCAAAATCTGAAAAGAAGGAATAAATGGACTGCTCTTAAAACATTTTTGAAGCTCAATCAGTTCACCAGGCATTAACTAACAAATACGTGTATTTGTAATAATTGAAGGGATAAAGAAAATATGGCAGATGTTAAAAAAATTATAAAAAGAATGAAGATTAAATTTAATTAAATTAAATAATAATTATTAGCTTTGCTTCATTTATACTTGTGTTTCAAGTTTTCTTTTGTGCAAGAATATTCAGTCACTTCTTACTTGTGTCGCCATTCATCCATCTGTTACAGACTTGCCTCAAGTTTCAGTTTCTGAAGCTGGTAGTTGTGCTTACCTTTATTACATTCCAACACAACTTTTTCTCCATCCAGCTTACTCTGTCCATACTTGTTAAGTGGGTTGGGTTTTGCGTCAACAGAGTAGGGAGGCGACTTCCCATCAAACACATAATCAGTGCTCATGTAAAGGAGCCAGGCATTGTTCTTCACTGAAAATATGGTAACCGTAATAACTCGACTTATTCAAACAATAATAATAAATATATTTCTCCAAAAATGTTATGTTAATAATACCTCAAAATTAAATCAAAAGATTTGAAATTTAGAGTGCATTCAGAACAGTGTACTTACAAATCTGGATAAAGGATAAAACAAAAAAATTAAAATATCACTCGGGGCAAAACCATTTCATTATCTGTTTCATATTTTTTATCACAACATTTCTAATTTTTATACTTTGTGCCATAATTTTTATTTAATTTTATTTAATTTATTTTTATTTAATCACTTCTGGTTGGACCGCTGCCATGAGCACACGCTCTAGGTGGTGCTGAATTTTTGGCAAAAATGCCCGAAAATTATGCCTATTTTTTTATCACAGCATTTCTAATTTTTATGCTATGTGCCATAATTTTTATTTAATATCCATGAATCTCATAAATAATGAAAACAAATATAATAACAATGTTTCTGTTTACTTTTTAAAGTTTTAAATGGAATTTAAAGAATAAATGAAAAGCTGCTGATGGACAGTAGTACCTGCAGCCTGGCAAAGATTCTTTGTCGCCATCACATTCAAGTTCTTGGTTTGTTCCTCCTGTTTCTCTACCATGTCTGGTCTTCTTTCAGCAGCAGAGTGGATGATGAAACTTGGCTGTAAAATAGTCAACAAAACACCGTAATGATGGTAACCAATTATTACTGTGATTGCATATACAATGTAACTGGTATCTTCTAAAATGTGCAGTGTGCGGGTTGCAGAATAGCAATACATTCGATTCATTGATGAATCTAGTACAAATAACTTTATTAACCTCTGGCACCATTTTCTAATCTGAACACTTATTGTTTTAAAGTCATCACATTTAGCAACATTCAAATTAACCTTTTATCAGACAATCAAAATCCAAATTATGCAAGTTCCTACACAACAGCAAGGGCTGAATTATTATTATTATTATTATTATCATTATCATTATTATTATTATAAGCAGGTCAACAAACTTACTTTAAATTCATCCACCACTTTCTCTAAGGCCTGGGGATCTGTGAGATCAACCTTGCACAGTTTTCCCTTGGCTCGAGAGAATGCAAGACCTAAGGCCTCCCAAGTAGGGTCTTCTTCAAACAGTCTGTAGATTGCTCTACCAAGCAAGCCCGAGGCTCCTGTGATCAAAACTTTCTTCTCCATGCCCTTCTAAATTAAGGTTTGAAATCGTATTAATACATGTACAGTAAATGTGACTAAAGATCAAATTATCTTACACAGGATGTGGCAGGGTCACTGTAGGAGGTGCTTTCTTTGCTCCATTTAGTCAAAAACAAAACTTAGATGCCTTGGATAACATTACTCCACAGTAAATCGTTGGCTTGTTTCAATTATACATGGTGAGCAGCTGCAGCTTTTTTTTTTCGCTAGACAAAGGTTACTAAAACCTGCATTAATGTACCTTGAGTCAGACAAAGTAGATCAACATATTTATATTATCTTGAAAGTAAAACATCAGCAGGGCGATTACCATGCAAAAACTGCACGATCAACAAGGAAGATTTGTGACATGGATTTGCTACTCGTTTTTCACCCATAAAACAAAATGTCATCCATTTTTATCATAAAAAGAGCTACATACCGTAATTTCAGATAATTCCAAGCAAATATTTTAAACCTTGGTGTGTTCTTTTGCAATTTATCCAAATCTATTTTAATAAGGTCCGGTTATTTTCAAAGGATCGGTCTGAAGCGGAAGTAGCCGGAAGTTGAATACGTACAAAGCCAAAAATAAGTAATTATTTATATTAGTATAACCATTTATAGCAATTTGAAAATGTTTCACCGTAAATAAACCATAAATATATATAGAAAACTCTTCTTTTAAAAAATTACACAGTACAAGTATTTTGGACCAAAGATTTTCGAATTTCATGAATACGAAAATAATCTCTGCACCACGCACAGCAAACACAGTGACCCAATTCAAGCCAAAACAACAACGTGAAGCAGGGAGGTTGGAGTGGTGCAGGGGCTTCTAGTGCTGTGTTATAGCATTAGGCGAGGGTTAGGAACCGTTTTTTCTGCTTTGAAGGTAAGCCGTTCTAGACATCAATTTAGCATTAACTACTTTTGAAAACTGAGCCAAGCAACAACTAAACCTAGCTGAATTATGAATGTATAATGAACTGTGACTAAATTTAAAAAAAATAGGGTACGCTTCGATATTTCACGGGGTCTGCTATTTCGAAGGTTCGCTACTCTGAGGGTCCGCTATACCGAAGTGATAGAAAAAGCAAAACAGCACAAAGATAGAAAACTCTACCAGGAGACAGTACACAACCAAATAGCAAAATAGAACAGGAGAGCACACGCCTACAGGCTGCAAGAACTTATTCATGTGAACCACAATGTACGTAACCCACATCGCACCATATGTATTTTGCAGCCTGGGGTCATACTCTCACGACTTTGTAACTAAGACCCCATTCCCATAGATTTTAGATCGATCTATCCCTATGGGGAGTCTCACTAGATTACTGTTAGTAGTTGGCCTAAGCGTCTGTCCCGCCTACATTAAAAAGCTATATAAGGGGGTAATAGAACTATGTTTCGCGCTTAGCTGACTGCAATTTAGCGTGAACCCCCAGGGAGTTAGGTCGATCTAAATCTAAATCTCTGGATCAATTTTAATCTCTAAGAACAATTTGTAAGTATTTACACAAATTTTGCAATTCAGAAACACGTCCTCCAACATTTTTTTCATGTTTTCCTTAGAAAATCCATTTATATTAAAAGTGTGACCCTATTTTGCAACAAATACAATTCATTTAAGCAAGGACTTGTACTAATTTCAATAATTACACGTCCTTGGTTTCAGCTCAACTATCACATCAATGAACTTTTTTGGAATAGCAGACCCTCAAACCTTCAGAATGAAGGACCTTGGAAGGCTCCTTTAGTTTTCGGAAAAGGGAACCCTCTGAATAGTGGACCCTATAGGGCTGCCACCCAAAAATATTGATTGTCTGCTATTTCAGCTTTGACCATGTCCACTGGGGATCAGGGCCAGTATGGTCAGTTTCTTCTATCCAGACTAGGAGAGTTCTATCAAGAGAGACTTCTGTGTGACTATGTGCTCAAGGTGAATGAAGAGAAGTTTGAGGTAAGTCATTAATATTTTTTTAAAATATATGTATTGACAGTGTTAAATTTATGGAGAATTTTTTAATTTATGTCATTCACATTGATCACATGTTATTGGTGATGCATTTATTCTTATAACATTTGTACAAAAACAATATTCTGAACTTAAACTAAAATTTCAGTAATTGTGATATTTATAATGTTTGTCTACCTTGTTCTCACTCTGAAATGTATCCTATCCAGGTTTTTGGCACCAAATCGAGTTTTCCTTGTCAAAAAAGCAATTTCCCCTACATACGAAACATTGCAACACCCATTCCCGCACTTAGATTTTATGTTTTGTACTCTTTCTAATTCAGTTATTCAGTTTTAGTCATACCATAGTCTGTGTGACACTTCAAAAGAAGATATCAACATCAGATACTTTAGTAAGGGGCCATTCAGAATGAGGAGGGACTAACTAGTCTGAAGGTCAAATATGGTCACCCACTACAAAGCTTGCTGTCTAATCTGCTAATAAACACTATATAGTGTATAATGCTTCCAGCGCCTTGCCTCCATTTCTTTCTTTTGAATAAACGTTGTTAAAAAAAAAAAGTCCCGTGGGGTAGTATTCATTGACAAGTGATCGGCCATATTTGACCCTCAGACTATTTAGTCCCCTATTCTGAATGGGGCCTTTATGGAGTTTTATATTATATTTATGGCTTAACTGTAATAAGCTATGCAGCTGGGTCATTTAAACATGAAAGTAAAACTTTAAGACATTTTCAAGTGTGTAATATACCTTTAATGAATTATTTGTTGAAGTATTTAAAGAATATTTTTTTTTTTGTGAAAGGTTCACAAGGTAGTATTGGCAGGATGCAGCGATTACTTCAGGGCACTGTTCACACACGGAATGCGCGAGAGCAGGAGCAACATGCTGCAGCTTGATGGTCTTGACACAATGGCCATGAGACAACTCATCAATTTTGCTTACTCAGGGAAACTACACTTGAATTTAGACAACATAGAAAATGTTCTGTCAGTTGCAAGCTTTCTGCAGATGACATCTGCAATGGAACTTTGTTCATCGTTTCTAAAATCGAACATAACTTTCGATAACGCTGAAAAATTATCAGCTCTTGCCGAGACACATGGTTTGGTGAAAGTGAACCAGTATAAGAAAAAGTATATTCTGGATAATTTTTATGAGTTTTCACAAACAGACCAGTTTCTGAAGTTAGATGCCAAAACACTGGCAGATTACCTTGCGGATGATTCTTTGAAAACCACTACTGAGGCTAGATTGTTAAAGTGTGCTTTGAGATGGTATGATCATGACCCTGAAGCCAGGAAAAATGTTGCTCACAGTGTATTTGAAAAAATCAGGTTTACTTTAGATGGCTGGCCAACCATAGAGTATGCGCAGGAAAGGGAGCCATTTAAATCAAACATTAATGGCTGCATGGAAATCCTGAACTATGCAAGCAATTACATGCAGAATGCATCGAGAAAACATCTCTACCAGTGCAACAGAACGCGCGTCCGCTACACACGCAAAACTTTGGTCCAAATAGGCGGGGAGCATCATATCATGTATTCCTATGGGGACGAACTTGCGGGAACACTGGTAGGTTACACCCATAATCACTACTTCCACCTGGACAATCAGCGATGGTTTCCTTTAGGAGTCGTCGGGACATTTGATTCCAGGTCTCACTGTGTTTTCATGGAGGTGAATGACTTTGGTATTCTCATCGGTGGGTATCTGTACTCCTGGGTGACCTTGCCCCAGGCTCAGAAGTTTCCCACAAATGAGGTGAAGCTGTTTGTGCCTGGGGGATTTGCCCTGTGGGATATGCCTTACATGTTGGAAGATAGGGCACATCATGCTGCAGTGCGCATTGGAGGTGGGTTGCAGATTGATCTTAGTATGCTCGTGCCATAAATATGGGCCCATCGTGATGTAATATATCTTCTTATGTGAAAGCGATTTGTTGCCTACATGCTCAAGTTTTTGAAAGTTATACAAATTCAATTTCAAGATTCTTTGAAGTGGTAGATGTGTGGCTCAAAATAAGAAAAGAAAAAAATTTAATGAAAAATATCAAGATTAAATTGTTTAAAACTACTGTAACAGTACTGTTTGAAAAAAGGGAAAATTTTGGATGATCTTTTTGTTGCACTTACCATTTGTTTATTTCTAATTCTTTCAGACTTTCTGTATGTAGCAGGAGGAATGGGCCATGATGCTTTTTTGTCATCGGTAGAGAGATTCAACATGAGAGAAGAGGTGTGGGAATATGTGACGTCTCTTCCCTCATCTTTAATTGACCATGCTGCTGCCGAGTGCCAGAACAAAGTAAGGAATTTGTGACTAGTACACACTGTGACACTCACCCTCACACGCACCCCATATGCCAGTAGAATTGAAGTGGGGCTTGCAAAATTGTATTCTTTTACCTGACATTGTTTCAGCTTTTTGCTAGTAGGCACTGGTGTCCCAAATAGTAAAAAGTGTTTGCATCAAATGTATTGGGTAGTTTATACCATTTTCTTAAACTGTACTCGTCAACATGATGTTTATCTCACCTTTGTATTTTAGAAAAAAGGCTAAATCAGGAATACCTATCCAAGTAGGGACCATTGCCATACCCTATGGTACTAGCAGGATCGATCTATCTCTGAGAGGCTTTTCACTAAGTAGCATTTACTTTAAGCATGCATGAAAGTTAATAACCTCCCTAGCAGCTTAAGTGTGCATGACAGACATTTAAACCGCTTAAACTGAATGCAATTTAGCAAGAATTCCCTGGGGAGTTAGATCTATCCTGCTAGTGTGATAGGTTTGTGGGAACCCAGTCTTATTTTCTTATGTTTTCATCTCCAGATGTATGTCAGTGGTGGGATAGAAGGTAACAGTGATGTTGGAACAGACAAGGTGCAAGTGTATGATCCAGAGACCAACAGGTGGAGTACAGTCAACAAAATGTTGACAGGTTGGTGCTGCGATGAACTTTTGATGAAGTTTTGATTTGTCTGTCTAAAATAATGACATGTTTGGAAATATTAACCCTAATGCTTACAATAAATAAAATATACTGGGGACAATAAAGAATGAAACCAATGGGCAAACAAGGAGATAAGTAAACCAACTAATGACTGAATGAAAATTCATTGATGAAAAAGACCTTTTTACAATCAATAACTTTTGAAGATAATATGTGAAACATAATAGATGTGCCATGTTCCCTAGTACTTGATAACAAAATGATATAAATGCTTCATAAATGAAAATTATCAAATACAAGCCGAAAAACTTTCAAACCATTAGCTTATGGCCAACCTGGACATAGGCCTTCATCAGACTGATGTGAGCAGATGTTGTTACTCACTGACCGCTAGGTGGTATAGCGACCAGGACCTTCTTATGAATGTCAGCTGACGGTATGAAAGTTTTTGTCTTGTGTTTGATAATTTTCATCCAACTACCAAGCTAATGGTCATTTTTGCTGATATAAATGCTTTGCAGGCAGGTTGGGCCATACAATGACCAAGGTTGGAGACAGGCTTATAGTGTGTGGGGGTCGTTTGGATGATCAATCCCCCAGGTGCCTGATCACAGTGGAAGCTTACAGCCCTAGTACTAACCAGTGGACTTATATTTCACCACTCAGAAATGATACAAGTTATATGGCAGCTGTTGGTGAGTGGCAGCCATGCCCTCCTCTCTCTCTCTCTCTCTCTCTCATTCAAAACTTCAGTGATTGGACTCTTAAGAATTTATATAGGGCCAAAGCAGATTAATAATTTGGCCTAAAAGTTAAGTTAGACTTATGGTCTAAAATTATTTTGGGAAAATGGTACTTGGTGAAAGTCTCTAGAATCCATATCAGAATTTTGTGGCTTTCTACCCAGAATCTTTTTGACTAACTGTGAGAGACATGCATATCAAGTACACAGGCCCTTGTTCACATTTCAGTGCTGGAGGAAAAGCTGCTGATTCTTGGAGGTGTTAACTCTGTACAGGATCACCTTCAGTCCATCCAACAGTATGACCCAGAGCTGGACAAGTGGACACTGTACGGTTCCTTACCAACACCTTTAGGGAGTAAGTATGACTAGGTTCCCATACCTAGATCAGTCTAACAGGATCGATCCATCTCCAAGGTTTTTTTTTTTTCTTTTTTTTTTTTTTTTTGGCTAAATTGTTTTCAGCCTAAGTGGCTTAGATGTCTGACAGGCCTACTGAAGCTGCTAAACAATAATTAATTACCCGCTAGCAACTTAGTAGGCGTGACAAACATCTTAGCTGTTTAAGTTGATTGCAGTTTAGGGAGAATCCCCTTTGAGATAGATCAATCCACAGTTAGGACGATAGGGTCTGGGAATAGTCCCTATCACTCCATACTTATTGCTTTAGAATGCATGGTTACTCTCACAATGTCCCAAGCAGAATGCACCCGAGCAAACATGCATGTGCATGAATTCACATGCACATACAAAATGGGATACACACATACATGCAAGGATACTCGAACACAAACAGGGACACAAGTGAGCATGGATGTGCACACACAAAGCTACTCAAACAAAGAAGCATTTGCACGTACACGTGCAAACACATATGCACACATGTTCACACAGCACGACAGTGACCAAGAATACTCTGATTTTGGTCTACTATTCTCCAGGCTTTGGTTGTTGTGCACTTACTGTGAAAATGACAGAGAATGGCCAGGAGGACACTGACAGTGTAATGGATGCTTATAATGTGTGGCCAAGGTAAGTAGAGACAGACAGACTGATTTCTTAGTAAATATGGAAGAATTTGATTTAACTTTTTATATTATCCCCACAATTTTGTTATATATTGTCATTTTCTACAAAAAATGAGAACTCTTGGTTATAGCTTTTTGTAGAGCTTGTCAAGCACAACACTGGAGGTAGTGTCCCTTTTTTTTTTTTTTCCATACGAATGCGCTTACTACAGCTGGTGCTACAATACCCAGAGGTGGTATCGCCTCTCTGATTATCTAGTCAGTATCTTTAGAGTTAAATCATTTATTTCAAAAACAATGTAACGTGATGTTCAAAGGGTAATTGTTTTCTCATTTTTTTCCAGTGGCTCAGAACCAGGAAGTGATGAGGAGGATCATGAGGTCCAGGATGCTATAGCTGTCTTAAACCTTCAGAATGGACTTTAGCCATAATCACACACAGAGACAACCCTCCAGCAGAGTAAAAATATCACCATTAGAGAACAGTTTAGTCCAGTCTATGGTGACTTACCACTGCCACAAATGTTTTGCTGGGAGACTAAAGATAAACTCTTTAATTTTTCATAATTTAGAATGACAAAAAATGAATAATTTACTTTTCAATTTTCTATAATTGAAAAGTAAAGTAAAAACAAAGTTGAAAAAGAGAACATAATTTTAAGTTAGAAATGATTTAAAAACTCCTTGGAAAGTTATTTTGATATTGCACATAAAAAGTAAAATTCATTTCAATGTGTTAAGTATATTAAGATCAAAAGCAGCCAATTGCTATCATGATATCCCATTGTGCTTTGTTATTTGACTGCCCCCCTCGCCCCAAGAATGTTTCCATGCATGCATAGTGAAGTTTCGAAAGTAGAAAGTATGTGAGTACGCAATGGTTTTTGTGTCATAAATATATGTCAGTGACATATATACTCATTAATATGTGTCCATCACGTAATCATAGTTTAGGTAGTTTATTCAATTATTGACCTTTGTTGAGGTCACCTCTTGGCTAATTTCAACCATGAGCAGGGACAATTGGCTGATGTTTGAATTTCCTTCGTGAAAAAGGTAAGCACAAAAGATAAGTCCCCGTCTTTTCCCTTTGCTTTTCTGGACCATTCCATTCTCACTTACTCGGAAACACAGGATAACACTTCTACTGGGGTTATAAATTTCATGTTTCTCCTTCAATTCCTAGACTATCAGATAAGTATGTTTTGCACTACTCTGATCAGCACATGAAATTATTTTTTAAGAGAACTAAATTTTTCCTGACTGGCACTTCAAATGGTGTTTAGCTATTAAGCAAACAAGACCTGCAAATCTGGCCATTGATAAAACCGCATGTGAATACTGGTCTTCTTACCACCTGATGACAACATAGAGGAGCTTGGGAGGTGTGACACCAACATCACAATATCTCCTTATAAGACTTTGGGCCTTGTTGTCCAGACTATGTTGTTTCTTCTGCTGACTCTGTGTCTTTAGGGGTGAGAGGTCTCAGCAGCTCCTCAGCTAGTTCCCTCAGCTGCTCAATCAACACCTTCTCTGTCACACTGTTCAATACCTCTTCTGCAAGAGACATGGGATGTGGTTGCTCTGCTTCCTCCACAACATGCCAACCATCAGATCATCTGCAAAGCCCTCATCCTCCTCTTTTATTTCCTCAACATTCCCTTGAGGAGACTCTCCATCTGCTCAGGGGATGGGTCTTGCAGTGGCTCCCCAGTCTGACTGAGTAGATACTTTACTCCTATGAGTTCACCTTGAAAGAAATTATAACTCTAGGTATATATTCTTCAAATCCTTCCAAACACATATTAACCAGTTGCATTACTTAAAAGGCTAGAATTTTTTTTCAAGATACTTTAATTTTTTTTCGTGTAAGATGACTGAACTTCATTTTATTCCTGTGGCAAAGTTTAACCAAGTATACTTTGCCTGAATATTTTCCTGGTGGTGGAAAATGTGGGGTAATTTCCTTCCCAAGTACCGTTTCTGCAAGCAAGTTATTTCCAATTGCTAACTTAGGTTTGTCGCATCGGAACTGCACTGATGGGATCTCAGCCAGAGAAGCTGTCGCCCTATCTCTGTTCCATCAGTAAATTTCTTCTAAAAGATAAGCCTGGAAGTTAAACGCATTTGCACTGGTACCTGTAATACAAACTGTCACATAACTTTGTTTTACAGTTTTTTTTTTTTTTTTCAATAGGAAGTGAAAAGTGAAAAAAATTATATAGTTTAATCAAAATATAAGCATGTTATAACTAGTTTAGAAAAAAATACTCACATTTAAATAAATGTCCTATTTTCAACTTAACAGTTACTCTATAAATTCATTATGACAATTTATCAAAATTCTCAACTTCAGTTACACTTTATATGAAGATTAACATACATGGATAATCATGTATAATTGACTTGCCTGGAATGAATCTGTTCAGGTGTAAGTGGAATGATTCTAGGCTGGTGGATCCTGTGGCACACCTGTAATTCTTTAGAATCAATCCACCCTTCTTAACACTCCTACACACTTGGTAGAGCTGCACATCTTGAGGGTCCTGGATGCACTTAACATGGCTTTCTGGACCTTCCAGTGCTTGACAAATCTTCTGGCAGGTGCTTTGAGTGAAAACTTGTCAAAAACACAGCATCAAAACACAAGGGTAAAAAAAATCAACTCAAAACATCATACAACTGCACTCTCTGGTTGCTCTTTGATGTGTTCAACTCTAAATAAACTCGTTCTGTCAAGACATCGAATGTCTCTCATGAGAAATCCTCTTGAAGAGGCCAAGTGGACTTTCCGTTCTTTTCAACCATGAAACTTAAGCGGACTAACCGCATTTCCTCATCCACTTCACGCACCTGCGCAATGTACTGCCCCCCTTCCCAATGCAAACGGAAGAGGTCATTCACCTCGACATTTTCATTGCAAAATGCAGTATTCAACTGCTCTTGGACAGAGACTGGGGTCTCAGGGTCCACGATTTGCATGAGAGGGACAATGTGGTTGGCCACCCAGTGTCTAGCTGTCATGTGTCCTCTGATGCCACCCAGTGTCTAGCTGTCATGTGTCCTCTGATGTCCATGTAATGTGAATGTTTTGCTGCTTGGAATGTTGTGCTGTCAAAGTTCTGTTAAATAACTCGTGATACCACCCAAACACAGGGTAGACTGAGTGGACATGACAGGTGAAGATGGAAGCCAACTCCCACAAGCCCATTGGGGTGCTTGGATGTCTTCGTTCTTAAAAATTTCAGCGATCTCCTCACAAGATGGCTCCATTTCTTGTGGCATTGAGTGGGAAGAGATCTTGGCAATATCTGCAGCAACTTGATCTGTGAGAAAAGTTTTTTAAAATTAATAAATAAACGATCAAATTCTCCTAGTTACAAGACTTTTATACAGTTAAGTGAAATCAGTGATGGCTTCTGTGAGAAAATACCGTACTAACCCCCCTCTCTCTCTCTCTTCTCTAAGATTAAAAAAAAAAAAACAATAACTTTCCCATTTACTCATGCCACAACACAAATGTTTCACTTGTAACTCTTTTTTTATACCACAGAATGTGTCATTAGAAAAAAAAATCATTTGTATATGCTGAAACAAGTTGCACTGATTCATTGGACTGCATACAACAGGTAAATCTGGCTGCCCCCCCCCCCCACACACACACATATAANGTGCAACCGGGCCCTGGCTACTAAGAAAACCCCGTCTAGAGGTTTGTCTTCTTTCCACCTTCAGCACAGCACCCACTGTCTACATAGAGGAAGTTGTGATGCCAGCATGACAATATATGAGGCATTTACTCATGCCACAACACAAATTTTTAACTTGTAATTTTTTTTTTATACCACAGAATGTGTCATTAGAAAAAAAAATCATTTGTATATGCTGAAACAAGTTGCTCTGATTCATTGGACTGCATACAACAGGTAAATCTGGCTATCCCCCCCCCCCCTCACACACACACACATAACTAATTTAAATACTAAGTAACTATGCCTCAAAACAAATAATATTTTTTCATGCAACATATATATATGCATAAACTTTAGAACAGCAATTTATTTTATAAATTTGACGATGGACACTTTGCCAATGGTTATCTGCACTCATCCTTTATCTTTGGACAAAAAATAGAGCATGGAACAAATTCTCAACAAAATTTTCCCTAAGGGTTCCTGCTTCTCGTCTTGCTGCCAGTTGTACTTCAGTAAGTGGACAGCTTCTGTAGCTTGTTATATTCCCTGTATGTGACGTCGTCCTTCATTTTTTCTCGAAACTGCTTACACTTCTCCTTATACTTCTTGCTCTCATTTTCTTTGTCATCTGCTGACAGTTAAGCAAAACACGTAGCCCTGAAAAACAGTCCGATACACTGCAATTTTTTGTTGACACCAAGGTCTAGATACATAACAATGTGAAGAACACAGCTGAAGTTTGGTTGTTACGTCGGACATACACAACGAGTATGTCTTGTTTATTCATAACAACCAACCCAGAAATGCTGCCGATATCGGCTCCCTGTGCATAGAATTTCAAATAAATCAACCACTGAAAAAGCGATCACTTAGTTAACCATTTCACCCAAAGCCAATCTGTCAAAAGATATTAAAATACATAAAATTGTCATTTAAAAGGTCGGTTGTTACTCAGACATACCACGCGAGTATGTCCTCAATCAGAAGGTAAGTAGCAAAATTAAATTCTGCTCAGCTCATAGACGAAGATGGACCGCGTGGTTCAATTTCCGTGTGAATACATTTGTTTTATTACCATAATAACCGTCGCATAGTCCGTACTCCCTACTTTGGTTAAATTTGGAGTTTGGTGGTTATGCTGAGTTCGGTTGTTACATTTCAAGACTAGCTGACAACCGCGGACATACACACAAACTTACCTTCCCTCCGGCTACTCGCAATCTTTAAATTTCAATGCAGGCTACACGCTTACATTTGGGGGCCCCAGGTTTCATCAAAAACGTGGATTGGAGTTGTCTCGAACCATGCAGCCTGAATTTTTGCGAAAGTTCGGTTGTTACTACGGTTTGTCCACACATTTTCTTCTTTAATGGAATACCTGACACAAATTTTTAAATGACCAGTCACACATGTATCAGCCATACTGGTGGCTGCATTCAGGAATGATCGTTGAGACACAGGGTGCATGGAACGACGTTTTGTCACAGCCTCATATGACTTAAATGCACTGTGAGTTGAATATTTTAGAAGGAAACATAAGAAAATCATCTTTTGCTTTTTACTTTCTTTTAATTTGCAAACCATGGCATTTACATATACTTATTATACATCATGTAGCTGAGTATGTCAGCTCTATGAATATATACATACCAATGTCACACATTTCATTTGTTACAGGTAATTGACAGGTAAATACAGGTGTATGTAAAAAAAGCACATTTTATATGTTTAAAACTTCAAATTGTGATCTGATATCACTTATAAAAGAACAATTCTACTGTAAATATATTCTGCCATTACTTCTTGTTGCTGAAAAATGCAGGTAAAATTACAGGTAAGAGCACCATACCTTGCTTCAGAAACCTCCATTTCTGAACACTAAACTTCTCTGTAATACTTCAATATTAACCATGAAAGTATGTTCATATTAAATAAAAACTGCACTATAATTGTTGCTCAGATAAACTACTACATAATGATAGATCTATAGAAGTCAAATTGTTAGTTGACTCAGGTTTAAATGCA